CTTCGAGCGAAGCCGAAGTTGATATACCCTTGCAGAATACTCTGTAAATTATATTCTCCAAAATTATTCATATGATGCATTTTTAATACTCATAAAAAATCACAACTTTCTTACTTTAAAAAAACCAAAGTTATGGCATTTCCAATCGTTCAGTTATATGGCAGCTATAGGATATAGTCGGCCGATCCTTATGAAATTTGATAGGCCGGATTGATTGGCCAAAAATAAAGCCCATAGAAAATCCCAACTTCCTAACTTAACAAACAGCGGAGTTATGGCATTTCCGATCAATCAGTTATATGGCAGCTATAGGATATAGTCGGCCGATCCCGGCCGTTCCGACTTATATACTGCGTGCAAAGGAAAGAAGGGCGTGTGCAAAGTTTCAATTCGATATCTTTAAAACTGAGAGACTAGTTCGCGTAGAAACAGACAGACAGACGGACAGACAGACGGACAGACAGACAGACAGACAGACGGACAGACAGACGGACAGACAGACGGACAGACGGACAGACGGACATGGCTATATCAACTCAGGAGGTGATCCTGATCAAGAATATATATACTTTATAGGATCGGAGATGTCTCCTTCACTGCGTTGCACACTTTTGACCAAAATTATAATACCCTCTGCAAGGGTATAAAAATTGCTAACATAGCAATTAAATCCAAAAACTTACAACCGACTAACTGTTGAAAATCGTAGGCCGGTCAAGAAGTGTATTTTCAAATCACCTTATTGAAAGCTTCCGAAAATGAAAAAAAACAAGAAAGGAAAGCTAACTTCGAGCGAAGCCGAAGTTGATATACCCTTGCAGAATACTCTGTAAATTATATTCTCCAAAATTATTCATATGATGCATTTTTAATACTCATAAAAAATCACAACTTTCTTACTTTAAAAAAACCAAAGTTATGGCATTTCCAATCGTTCAGTTATATGGCAGCTATAGGATATAGTCGGCCGATCCTTATGAAATTTGATAGGCCGGATTGATTGGCCAAAAATAAAGCCCATAGAAAATCCCAACTTCCTAACTTAACAAACAGCGGAGTTATGGCATTTCCGATCAATCAGTTATATGGCAGCTATAGGATATAGTCGGCCGATCCCGGCCGTTCCGACTTATATACTGCGTGCAAAGGAAAGAAGGGCGTGTGCAAAGTTTCAATTCGATATCTTTAAAACTGAGAGACTAGTTCGCGTAGAAACAGACAGACAGACGGACAGACAGACGGACAGACAGACAGACAGACAGACGGACAGACAGACGGACAGACGGACAGACAGACGGACAGACGGACATGGCTATATCAACTCAGGAGGTGATCCTGATCAAGAATATATATACTTTATAGGATCGGAGATGTCTCCTTCACTGCGTTGCACACTTTTGACCAAAATTATAATACCCTCTGCAAGGGTATAAAAATTGCTAACATAGCAATTAAATCCAAAAACTTACAACCGACTAACTGTTGAAAATCGTAGGCCGGTCAAGAAGTGTATTTTCAAATCACCTTATTGAAAGCTTCCGAAAATGAAAAAAAAACATACGTAACATGATAGGAAACAAACTTCGACAAGATTAAGTTTATGTTTTCATAAAAAATTATAGTGTTACTTATGAAAAATTCGAAAATCGCTCTAAAAATAATTTTGACTAAATCAACCTGAAATTGTTTTTGATGGCAAATATCCGGAAAAATCATCTCGATTTTTCGGTTTTTAATTAAAACCTCTGGAAATAATGATCAGATCTCGGAATGCCATACCTCGTTGGATTCGTTACAAAATTTTCAAAGTTACTACAAAAAGCCCTTACAAATATAAATATGTTTTTGATGACCTAGATCCGGAAAAAATAAGATCGATTTTTCGTTTTTTTGATCAAAACCCTTGGAAACAATTGCCAGATCTTGGAATGTTATACATCGTTGAATTCGGTACAAAATTTTCAATCTATTTGTACTACTAGCTAAGAAAATGTATTGTTCAAATTTTCTCAAAAAAACAAGATGAAGAAGACTCGTTTAGAGCCACTTCATGTGGAGATGCGATCAGTCAGATAACACGTTTTACAATTTGAAACCCAAATAGTAATGTTTAAGTGTAGTGCGTAAAATCAGTTTCGGAGTATCAGTACTCCCTCCTCTTGGTTACTGGGGATAGGCTCGCGAGCACTAAGACTGCGCACAGCTCCAAATAAACGAATGAGCAAGCGACACACACATACTCACGCCTAGAAGGACGCACACGCAAAGCATATACATATTCATGTATGCAAAAAGAATGTAAAAAGTGTGCGCGGGTCCCATACGACAAGCTAAAAATTTGTATAGAAAATTAGTTAAAAAATTACTCCGCAGACTCGCGCACGCATGGAGCGGTAAGTGGTGGGTGGTGCGGGGATGGTGTGGGTTTTGCTTTACATATGCGAACGCACACACACGGAAAAATACGGCGAGAGAGAGTTGCTTCACCAGTTAGACACAGTTGGCATTAGTGGGCGGTGTTAGAAGTGCGCGCGTCCCCCATCGCCCCTCGCCCACCCCATCTCCAACATCCACTCCACCTCATCTACGCTCCTTTACCGTGCACTCACACAACCTTCACGCTCTCCTTCAGCCCACACTTACATGGGCCATGTACAATTTTAATGTTTAGAGTCGCGCGCGCTTAAAGTTTGTCATAAAGCACCCCATTAAAAAAAGGGCGAACAGCGAACCTAATGGAAGGGGGGAGGGTTGGGAGGATGATGGGATTTTGGGTAGATGGGTTCGTGGGTAGAGAAAGGGGCTGAAGATAACCAGTGAGCAGGCAGGAACAAAAAGGAGAACTCCATCAAATTAAATACAAATGCGAATTAGAAAAACTTTTTCACCGTTTTTTTGGTTTTGTTGTTGGCCCGCTTTGTGTACATATGAAATTAAATTGGCTGCTGCCAACTCTGACGTTGCCGTCGCTGCTCTTGCTCAGCAATGCATTGACTGTCGACTGTCACTAACAGACTAGCGCGAATGCTTAAGAGCCAAGTTGGCGGGAAGAAGGGCGCCGTTGGCGGAGCGGTTAGCACGAGAGGAGGAGGCACGCACATGCCAGCAGAAAAGCAAAAAAGTTTTCCGAAAAGAAAATGCTCGAAGGGGGTGTAGTTCGGGGTGGGGTAGGAGAAGGGATAGGGAAAGAAGTGCCACAAGTTAAAACAAACAGCCAAGTCAAAACATGCACGGCCATAGAAAAGAGCCAGTAAAAGCAAGGATGATGAGTCCCGCGGAAAAGCCAAGGAGTCGAACTTTAAATGCACCTTCCTTGAAGATCCTCAGAAGCAAATCGTATTTGAATATGTTATAGTTATCGGGTCCAGCTCTTTTCGACTTATATACTACCTGCAATACACATAAGGCTTTGAGAAAAATTTTATCCGCTTTAAAACTGATAGACGTGATTGCTTTGAAATAGACGGATCGATTCGCCTGGAGAAGCTGATCAAAAATATGTATACCCCTTATGGTCGAAAATGTCTTCTTCATTTCTGACTAACATTTCGATAGGGCTACACAAATATATAAAATTAACAAATTCTTTGAAGTACCTATAATATTATGGGGCGATCTTTAGTGATATCAAGTATACGCTCTGACGGCAAAATAAGCCCTCTAAAGGGAGGTCTTTCCTTGAGCCAACCTGCAGAGAGCGAAATGCTAAATTATTTGGGAATGAATAGGTGGAGTGTCGAGGGGAAACGCACAAATTAAAAAATAAGCTTTCAAGAGCCGCAGCCAGCAGAGGGCGATGGGTGGGGAAGGGGTACTCTTCATCTGCACGCACCACAACGCACTTTTCCACAAATACATTTGCAATTTATGTACCTTTTTCTGGCTGCGACGCGCGAAATAATAAAAAAAAGGAACACCGAACACAAACCCAGCTCACACACACCAACACACACAAGCGCGTAGGCAGTTCGACAATGTTCTATATGGTTACATATTCATATGTTAGCGGCTCATACTGCAAGTGCGAGTGAAACGGAGCCAGTTTACATAAGCCCCACCAAAGCGAACGCAACTTTTTCTTGCTAGCGGGAGGAGGTGGTGCAGGAGGAGAAGAGGTAGGGTGTGGGGAGCACGAGGTTAGCTCAACTTTCTTTGCATACTCTTCCTGGCGTGTGGGTGTGTGTGTGTGTGTGTATATGCACCCCGACCCGATCTGATAACTTTAAGGGTATTTCCCATTCGGTTTTCCGTTGCCGCCCACATTTTCCCTTCTTTTGTCGCTGTGTTTTTTCGTTTTCGTTTTGTAGTTGTTTTTGGCAATTAACCAAAAGTGGTGGTACCCGCCCCTCCTCCCTCCATCCAAATGCTGTCACACGCATGCTTTTTGGGAATCCTCTTCTTTCCGCTCGGCACCCCGCTATAACCTACTTGAAATTTTTAAAATATTTTTAACTGCTGCGCTCCACTCTGTTTGGTTAATATTTTTCTTGCTCGTTTGCGTGTGTGTTTGTGTTGGGGGGTGTCTAGTGTTTGCGCGTTGGAGTATGGACCCTGCCACCATCACTTCCCTCCCGCATATGCGTAATATATTAACCAAAACAAAAAGAAGAGAGCGCAAAAACAAAGCCACCAAAAAGTAGGTGGAGCAACAAATTTCAGCTCGCTTCTGACACTTGAAACTTACTCTTTGGCGCCATTGGCAATTATACATAAGCATAACCCACTCATAGACGTACATGCAGGCTTCTGAAAACACATAGCGAGGCATCTTTTTTGTGCGGGGCACAAAATTAATAATTGGGAAGCAACTTTCCAGTACAATAATGTGGGCTCCGCAGCAAAGTAGACTACCAGACTAGCAGACTAGTAGACTAGTAGACTAGTAGACTAGTCTTACAGATTTTTAACACTAATATTATTTCTTATTCACCTGACCTTGTCCCCCTTTTACTTTTCCAAAGCAATGATATTGACCGACTTTATCTCTCTTATCTTTCCAGCTTATTTTCCACTCTGATCGCAGGTGAGTACCTTCAATAACTGGGTTTTAGAGAACACAAGGATCAAATCCTTTGTGCGAAGGGTGGGTAAACACGAGATAGTCTTAAGCTTGAATGCGATAGGTAAAGCCCAACTGACAAACATGCATTTGAGGGATGACTCACAGACACACACTCACGCACCCCTGCCGGGACACTCACACCAGCACACATGCTCCAGCTATTCCTATTGGCTAATTATTGCGAACTGAGCACTCAACAAACTCCCCCCAAGCCCCCAACCTACATGCCCTCCATCAAAAATAATCTGCATATGTGTACGCGTGAGTCTGTGCGTTATTTAAAGCAAGGCTTCCAAAATATGCTGAAACTTTGGGCCAAGACGAATACGAGCAAAGGAACCTTACAAAACCATCGGGTGTGCGTAACGTAAAAATTTTAAATTATATTTACCAAGCAACGACAACCGCCAGAAGCTGCAACCGAAAGTCTATCTTCATATCAGTGTGTGGCTCCATGCTGATGAACAAGAAATTATTTTTCTAATGCAGCTACAAGATCACCCAAAATCACACTGAGAATTAGAATAGCTCTTAACTTTGGTGCCACCGGAATGTATACTTTCCATTCGGGAATCTGAGGTTGAGGGTAAGGTAAAACAAGAGAGAACGCTATAGTCGGGTGCCCCGACTATCAGATACCCGTTACTCAGGTAAAGGGAGTGCGAGGGAGATGGAGATAGAAACTTTGATCACGCATAACTTTTTAACGAATGGTCCGATTTGAAAAATTTCTTCTACATTTCGATAGGTATTGATAAACACAATAAAACTGCATTTTTACTTTTCCGAAATATTTAAATTTTTAAAATCGTATATAAGCGATTGTGGGCGTTAAATGGGGCGTGGCACCTTTTTGAAACAAACTTGCGCTGCGTAGGAACTCCTAGAATCTGCATGCAAAATGCCAATCTTCTAGCTTTTATAGTTTCCGAGATCTCAGCGTTCATACGGACAGACAGACAGACGGACAGACAGACGGACAGACGGACAGACGGACAGACGGACAGACGGACATGGCTATATCGACTCGGCTAGTGACCCTGATCAAGAATATATATACTTTATAGGGTCGGAAACGCTTCCTTCTAGCTGTTACATACTTTTGCACGAATACAATATACCCTTTTACTCTACGAGTAACGGGTATAAAAATCCAAAAAGACATTTATATTAATTAACAGAAAAATATAGTAGCCAGAGAGTTCCTGGTTTTATTCCGTTAACCGAAACAAAATGATTCAAAATTTGGAAGATCTCGGGCTATGTTTTAACAAGTTATTTTTGCCAAATATTGTCTATTCTCTTAAACATATTTTTTAAGTTTTTAATTAAAGTATTAAATATAAATATTTATATTTATTTTTTTCTTTAAGTTTAAGCAAAATTAAACAGTTGATTCCGAGCCTGATAAAGCTGTTTTACACTTTACGTCGTATATCAACATTGATACATGTAACTATACTGTATATTCAAAGTAGAGTAATACCAAGTCCCAATTTAGAACGAAGAATTCACGTTTAATTCGAACACTTGCAATAGTGCTATAAATGTTTTTTAGAATTTTATTTTTCTCATTTTAAACTATGGCATTTTTGATTTTAGAGTGCTTTAATTGTTAGGTCGATTTTGTTTTGAGTGCAGGAGCAAGAACTCGCGCGCGTCCCATGCAGCTTAAATAATTTGTCGCATTTGCCGGTTTCCTAGTTGCTTCCCTTTCCCCTTTTTCTTACACCAAACCACTCCACAGATTCGGCCGCCCACCGTTTTTCCGTTCCCATTCAAAAGAAACTACGCGAAACTACAACGAAGACGTCAAAATCCACATCGACATCCAGCTTTCCTCGGTAACGCACACACAAGTACGTTGGCTCTCTTTCGCCGAAAAGGAGCCAAAAGATAGAGAGCGAGGAAAAAAAATTACTTCGGGCGCACTTGTTGGCATCCTCGCCATCGTGGCTTTTCGTCTAACAGCACTGGTGAAAGAGAATCTCGCCCAGCATAGCATACTTCTCGGGGTGCGAGACGTGGTGCAGGGGGCGGCCTGCGTCGAGGCGCTACTGGTGGGTACTTTACTTGATGATTATGGCGACGATAATGATGATTGGAATGGCTTTGATGGCGTTGAAAATGAAGATTGCGTGTAGTAGATTTGCTCCGACTCGGTCCTGCTTTTGCTGCTCTTCTTCGTATGCCTTAACTGCCCGCTGCTTGTGTGCGTGCTTATGTTTATGTGTGGGTGTCTGCATGTTGAGGTGTAGCATAGAGCGAACGGATTTTGGGTAATGCGTCCAACTACACACTATCAACATTTGATTTTATTATGCTCATTTTTATGCGCGTAGTTCAGTGTTTGCCTCACTTTCTAAGACGTCTGGTGGAGTGGAGTAGAGTGAAGTGGGGTGCGGGTGGGTGAGTTACTGGGCGGTCAATCCGAGCAACAGGATGGCGTCTGCTGACTGGTGGGCGATGGGTGGTCCGCGACCAGACTTCAAGTGCTCCCGACTTTGACCTCCTGCGGCAGCGGCTGAGACGCTAGCGTCGCTGTTACTGTTGTCGTCGCCGTTTTGTCCTCGTGACAATGAAGGCCCCGCCGTCGCCTTTTGCCGGCTCCGGCTCGCTTCATTTTCGTCCGAACCACGCCAAACTCAGAGTGAAGCCCACTGAAGGAAGCTGGGAGTCATTCGGTTTCAGCTCGGTTTCAGCCGAAATCGCCAGCGTCTTGGGCAGTTAGTAACCGTTAAGACGTCGTGGCTGCCTAGTCGCGTGTCCTTCGCCGTTCGGTCTTTGTATGTTTAGTTGCGTTTATTTTTGTGTCTCGAAAATCCTCCGACTCGAAAGCAACAGGGTAAAGCAAGTCGGCAAGAAATCTGCAAGATCGCCGATCCAAAGGACACTGTCTCTTTCCCTTTCTTTCCATCGCCGAATGTTGCATACTTTTTCGGGGTAGCACAATGGAGCTGGATCGAGGCAGTGAGCCAGGGCGGAACAAAGCAAAAAGACAACAAATTAAAATTTTAAAAACGACTCTTCTCACACACGCACACCCACGTTCTCCAGCTCCCACACACACACGCCATCCTTTTTATTCGTTTGGGAATTTTTGTGCGTCGATTTCCCCTTTTGAGGCGGCGACGCAGCGCCGTCGGTGGGCGGCTGCGGGAGTTCGGCTCGTAGTTCTCCTCTATAGAACGCACGTGTGTGTGTGCAAGAGTTCTTTTTATTTTCTTGCTTTAACATTTTTTGTATTTTTCATTTTTCGTTTGCGTTTTTTTGCGCGCGCTCTACTCTCGTGTCGTCGTGTAAACGCGTTTTTTTTAAATTCCCCTCTGCTGCCGGCATTGCACGGGGGTTGCTTGTATGTGTGCTGCTGTGGTGTTGTGTTTGTGCGCGGGAGATGGGGTGCAGCAGAGGCCGCAGCATGCAGTGGGGTTGGTTGTGGATGGATTTTTTCCACCGTCACACTCACACAGGCACTCATACGTGAGCGCTGACTCTTTTTTCCTGATTCTGCCGCCGCTGCTTCTTCTTATCCTCCTCTTTCCGATTTCCTTTTTCGCCTGATGTTATTTTTTTCTCGCTTTTTGTTTCAGCTGCTGCTGCGCTGCCGCTTTCGGTTTTAGCATTTTTCGTTCGTTTTTCGCATTTTTGTTTTGTTTCTGATTTTCCTTTTTGCCTAGCGCTGCCTACGCCGGCGTCGCTGCCGCGGCCAGCGCCGAAGTCGCATCCTTTTTTTTAACGTTACACGCAGAAAAAATGAGCAAACTTTGTCCTGTCCGTGTGTGAGTCTCTCGCTTGCACGTCAAATGTATGTGTGTCGGTGTGCGAATAGTTGTTGCTGCCCGGGGAGGGCTGCGGGAAGCGAGCCAGCAAAATGAGTAATGAGTGTTTAGTACGTTGTTTGGCGGGTGATTTTTATGGCAGCGCTGCGGCAGTGCAGCCAAGTGGGGATAGAGTGAAGAGTTAAGGGGTGCAGGGGCCGTGGACGCTAGTCCAGTGCAGTAGCAAGTCGGCAGCGAGCGTGCAAGCGTAGGAAGCGGACGGTCAACGAAACGTAGCACAGCATTTGGCGCTATCTAATTGGAATCGCCTTGCCAATCAGTAATCCCTGTCTTTTTGTGTGTGTGTGTGCGTGTGTAATGACTTCAATTGTGTGCTAAACTTACTACGGTCGCGCAGCTCCAGATTCAGCAGCATCAATTTGGGCACCAAAACAAAGCTCCGTCGGCGTCGCAGCCGCATCCTTCGTCCTGCAGCGACTTCGGGCCACCTTCGGCTGTCGGTTGGCATCGGCTGCGCCTTGGTCCTGCCGTCGCTACCGCTGCCTCTGCTGCTGCCTCTGTCCGCGTCGCTGCCGGCGGCCCTGGGCCGCTGCGATTGCGAGTTGGACTTCAATCGAGTTGGGTTTTAAAAATAACGTTAGTTGCTGTTTGTTGCTCGTTACGTGCGCGTGCTGCGACGCGGACCAAAAACCATCAGCCACCAACGAAAACGGAAACTGAATCTGAAACCAAACTGAAGTCAGAACTCAACTTCACTCAGAAATCAAATCACGAACACCAAGAAAACTGCGTGAATGGATTCTCCCTTTTTGTCCAGTGCTAGTTAATACGTCGAGAACAGAATACCGGGATTTTCGAAATTTTACCCATATCCGCGCGTTTGTTGATTGTTTTCATTTTTGTTTGGTGAGCCGCAGAGAGGCGAATCCCCTGTGTCGATGACAAGTTGTGCAATAAATCGAATCTAATCAAAGTGAAGGCAAGTCCAAGAAATAGGAACACACCAAAGCAAGTGATATCGCAGCCGATCCGAAACCAAATCATAGCCAGTCTAAGCCACCATATTCCGCACCCATAAAGAATAGCGAGCAACCGCAACAGAAACTCTGACAAACTGCCCCAGTGAAAGTAAGAGTGAACAGCAGCCCGAGTTCCAGCCGGATCCGGACTGCCTAAGCTGAC